TCTACAGAAAGAAGAGAGACATCATGGAGCAGCACGGACAGTACACACATGCAGCAGTGAGCAGGGACACCACGTGGGACTGATGGGAATGCCATCTTCTGAGAGCGAGGGGAGAGGAGACTGCTGCGGCCTGTGTCACTGGTGATAACACCCGAGGAGAACCCTGCAGACCACAATGACTGTGAAGGCAATATGGAACTCTAGCAGGGGACTGTCCCACCTAACCCTGTAAAGCACATTTCTTACTCCCCGTCTCCTTACAAGGGCACCCAGAGACCAGCATGGAGAGAGCGCCAAGTTCATGCAAGGAGAGGCTTTCAGGGCTCACGGGCTAATGCTGTAGGGGATTTGATCAGAAAAATAAATCCAAGTTCCCCACTGATTGGAGTTTGACCTGGAGGGCTGGCAGGGGGCTAGACACCCATTTAGGACTGTGAGGAGATCCTATTCTTCCACTCCATCACAGGGTCCAGGTCTCAAACTGCCAAGGTGAAGCACAGGCAGCTGGCTCTGGGAATAACTGCTCTCTTTCTCTGGACAAGGCAGGCTCACAAGGCTGGGAGTGGATCCCCTGCACCCTGGACTGTGAGAGCCTTGTGTGCTAACTGAGAATTCTGTGACTGCACGATATGATGTGGAATGGATCTGGGTCTCTGCACCATCACTGTGGCTGGCTTCAGAGTCTTCAGTTTTCCTGACTGCCACTGTTGGGTCACTGCAGAGGATTCTGTGCTCACACTGAGGACCACACAGATCCTCGTGTGGTTCATGCACCTGCGTGAGAGGGGCTTAACTACTGTGGCTAATCCTGGGCATTGATCATCTTGGAAGAGAGGTAGGTGGTGAGGCTGTGATTATACCAGCAGAAGTGACCATACTCTTCCTGCTGCTGACAATAGAGGATATCTACCACACCCAACATGGGTGTCAACCTGGACACTTACCCCATCGTCGAGAACTGACCAGAGCTCTCCAGTCCTACTCAGAACATGCTTCTGGATATCAACTGAGGGAGCATACACTCCACTAAGCCAAAGAGTCAACTTCAAAGATAAAAGCCATCAGAGGAAAAAATACACAAGTGTTTCCAGAAATGCCTAAAAATATAGAAATACAAGAAACAAGAACAAGGAATACAAGATAATATCCCAAAAGGAACATAATATCACTTCAATACTAGAATATGAATATGAAGAGATTCATGAAGTTCTTGAAAATGAAGTCAAAAGAATTATCATAAGATTACTTAAAAAAAGAGAAAAAAAACCATGAGATAAACAAATCCATTCTCCATATGGGTGAAAAATTCTGCCAGGAGATAGAGATATTAAAGAGAAACCAAACTGAAACACTAGAAATGAAGAATTCAATATTTTAAATAGAAAATTCATGGGGCCAACACTGTGGTATAGTGGGTAAAGCTGCTACCTGCAGTGCCACATCCCATATGGGCACTGGTTTGAGACCCGGCTGCTCTACTTCCAAATCCAGCTCTCTGCTATGGCCTAGGAAGGCAGTGCAAGATGCCCCAAGTCCTTGTGCCCCTCCCCCAACATGGGAGACCTGGAAGAAACTCCTGGCTCCTAGCTTTGGATTGGCCCAGCTCCAGCCATTGCAGCCATGGAGAGTGAACCAGCAGACAGAAGACCTGACTCTTTCTGCCTCTGCCTCTCTGTAACTCTGCTTTCCAAATAAATATATAAATCTTCAAAACAAACAAACAAACAAACAAAAAAACAGAAAACACACACAATGTTAAGCCTGAATAACAGGAGTCATGAAGCAGAAGAAAGAACATCTGAGATAGAGGGCAGCACCATGACATAGAAGGATAAGCTGCCACCTGCTGTGTCAGCATTCCATATGGGTTTGAGTCCCAGCTGCACAATTTCCAATCCAGTTTCCTGTTAATATGCCTTGGAAAGCAGCAGAAGACAACCCAAGTCCATAGGCCCCTGATACCCATGTAGGAGGCAGGGGAAAAACTCCTGGCTTTGGCCTGGAATACCCTTGGCTATTGTGGCCATTTGGAAGTGACCGGTGGATGGAAAATCTCTCTCTCTCTCTCTCTCTCTTTCTCTCTGTATCTCTTTCAAAAAAACTTTGCAAAAAAGAAATAAAATCTGAGCTAGCAGACGAATCTTTGGAAATATCTCAGCCAAAAGAAAGATGAAAAAAATGAGAGAACCTGAAAATAGCATTTGAGATTTATAGGATACCATCAAACTACCCAACATGTCTTAGGATTTCCTGAAGATGTGTCCAAAGAAAATGGATTAGAAGGCCTATTCAGTGAAATAATAGTAGAAAACTTCCCTAATTAGGGGGAAAGAAAGGAACACTCAAACATAGGAAGCACATAGAATTCCTAATAGACATGATCAGAAAAGACCTTCACTATGACACATTATGGTCAAACTTTCAACAGTAAAATATAAAGAAAAGATTCTAAAATGTGTGACAGAAATACCAGATTACCTTCAGAGGATCTTCAATTACAATAACAGCTAATTTCACACTAGAAGACCTTAGAGGCTAGGTGTCAATAAAGAGACATAATCCAAGTCCTCAAAGAAAAAAAACTGTCAATGCAAAATAGTATACCCCACAAAGCTCTCATTTATGAATTCATAAATTAAAAAATACAGACTGACTAAATCCATCTATTTGCTGCCTAAAAGAAGCATACCTCACCAACAAAGATACATACAGACTGAAAGTGAAAGGATTCAAAAAGATATTTCATGCTAATGGCAACAACAAACAAGCAGATGTATATACCCCGATATCAGACAAAATAGACCTTAACACAAAAACTGTTAAAAGAGACAAAGAAGGGCATTATGTAATGATTAATGGATCAATTCAACAAGAAGATGTGACTATAGTAAATGTTCATACATCCAACGCCAGAATGCCTGCCTATTTAAAACAAATGTTAATGTATCCACAGGGATACACAGACTCCAATGCTATAATAATGGGGGGCTTCAACACCCTACTTTAATCAATGGACAGATCAACTAAACATAAAATCAAAAAAGAAACAACAGAGTTAATTTATACTATGGATCAAACGGACCTCATTGATATATTCATAGATATCTACTGTTGAAGAATATGCATTCTTTTCATCAGTGCATGAAACTTTTTCTAGGACAGACCATATGCTAAGGCATTAAACAAGTCCCAGCAAATTAAAAAAAAAAAATGAAAACATACCAGGTATTTTTTCTGACCACATACAAGGAAGCTAGAAATTAACAAGTTAAGAAACTCTAGTTTCTCAAGTGAGCTGCGGTGCCGGCCAGAGTGTCAATTGTTAACAACAGGAGTCACCATGCACTTACTCCCCATGAAGGACCTCTGTCCTTAATGAGCTGTACTATGAGAATTAACAGTAAAACTTGTCATCAAACAGTACTTCATATTTTATGTGTGTGTGTGCGTGTGTGTGGTACAAACTGTTAAAACTGTTACTTAGTACAGAGTTGGACTACTGTATATAAAAATAATTAAAAATGAATCTTAATGAAGAATGGGATGGGAGAGGGAGTAGGAGGTGGGACGCGAGTGTGGGTGGGAGGGTGGCCATGGGGGTAAGAACCACTTATTCCTACAGCTGTACCTATGAAAATTGTATTTATTAAAGAAAAGCATTAAAAAAAAAACAAAATGCAAGACAGACCATTAGATTGTAATATGAGTGAGCACTAAAAAATTCATCTGTATGGCTTCAGATTCCATATTTCTACTAACCTTTTAGAGACTACCATTTGTTCATGTGGTATCAAAAGAGAATACTCACAATTATTTTGAAAACACTATTAAAACATTCCTCTCTTTTTCCAGCTACCTCTTAAGGGTGTGAAGTAAAATTGTCTTCATAAATTTCTTCCAAATAAACATATCACATAGCACACTAAATGCAAAAGTAGATATAACAGTGCAGCATAGGGTAGGTATTAAGCAGTTTCTTGGGATGCACAAATAACATCAGAGTGCTAGGTTTAGGTCCTGGCTCCACTGCTGATTCCAGCTTCTTGCTAATGCAGATCCTGGGAGGCAGCAGGGATGGCCATCTACATACGAGACTTGGACTGAGTTTCAGGATCCTAGCTTTGGCCTGGCTCAGGCCCTGCTACTGAAGGCATTACAAGAATGAACAAGTGGATGGAAGACCTGTTTGTTCCTGACTCTCTGTACTTCAAATTAAATAAATAATTAATTCAAAAAGAATGCAGCAACCTTCTATTAAGCTAGATGTCAAAGATTTTTTTTTATTTGATAGGCAGAGTTAGACAGTGAGAGAGAGAGACAGAGAGAAAGATCTTCCTTCTGTTGGTTCATCCCCCAGATGGCCACTACGGCTGGCACGCTGCTCCGATCCGAAGCCAGGAGCCAGGTGCCTCCTCCTGGTCTCCCATGTGGGTGCAGGGGCCCAAGCACTTGGGCCATCCTCCACTGCCCTCCTGGGCCACAGCAGAGAGCAGGACTGGAAGAGTAGCAACTAGGACTAGAACCCGGTGCTCATATGGGATGCCAGCGCTGCAGGCGGAGGATTAACCAATTGAGCCACGGCGCCAGCCCCATAGACATCAAAGATTTTTAAAAGAATGTAAAATAATGATATCCTAGTCTTTTTTGGGGGAAATAAATTTTTCATAAAAAATGTTAGTATGTATTCACTAATGTTATTTTAAATGACTTCCTAAGTATATTTTTAAATTTCTCAATTTGTTTTTCTATAATGGAAATATATTGACAGACATAATCCACAGGAATAAAGGCTTGTTGAGGTCAGTAATTTTTAGGAGTATACAGGGTTTTTATGACTACTGGAATAAACTACTGAAATAAACTACTAAACTAATAAGGTTATTTGAAAATGGAACTACAGTCCCTAGCCAATGATTTGGAACATGGCATTAAAAGCTGATTTGATATTTGATACGATACCATTATTAACAATCATAACACTGTCTTGATATTTAACTTACAAAGAGAATTCCGTTCGACTAATTTCAGTGGTGATGTAGTCAATTTTTTTCTTGGCTGGTTTTCATTCTCATCCCCACTCTCCTCATCTTGCACTATGAAGTCATCAAGAATGTAATCATCTCCATCTTCATTATATTCATAATTGTCTTCCTCATCATTATCATTATCACTGCTTGAGCAGGATTCCTTTTCTGAGTCCTAATTAAATTAAAATAAATTCATTAAATTAAAATAAATTCATTAGTAGATTTATGCCTTTAAAGTGGTCAGTATGCAACATATATACATAAAAACAAAGAAATCAGCTTTATATTTTAGGGCTAAAAATGAAGAATTTATCACGTTAAATGTTAAACTTTTGAAGATAGGAAGACTATACCTTCATAAGTGATATAAAATATTTAAAATTAACATTAAAATATAAGAAGTTAAAACAGCAAAGGCTATACAAAACATATACTCTATAAATTTTAGAAAAAAGATACATGGAGGCTCAGGACAAAACAATATACTAGATACAAAAGCACTGTGAAGCATGTTTCAGCATATTGGATTGAAAAACTTTAGTATTACTGAGAACTAAGACTCAGTGCTATGATTTTTATAAAATTAAATACTATAAGTAAATTGTAGAACCAACAAAACACAACACACACCTCAAAATCTCTACCACTACTGCTTCTCTGTCGAGCTCTTCGTTTTGAGAGTTCTTTCAACTTCTGAAATTGTTCTCGTTTTTGAGCAGCTGATCTTTTTTCAGGGTTTTCTTGCTCCATTTCTCCTGAAGAACATTCATCTTCAACTATTCTAGGTGGGCGTTTAACATCTACTTTTCTAACTAGGATATCACTATCTTCACTGTCATCACTGTCATACATCACAGAAAATATCCTTTTTCTTTTCCCTCGTTTGATTTGTTCTTCTTCCAAATCATCCTCTATTATTTGTCCAGCGTGTTTGTTGAGATCATCTCCTTCTTGATTTGGATGCTTTTCACAATCTATTAAGTCAATACTCCTATGTTCGGTTCTGTTCACTTCTTCACATGTTGAACAGTTGCCAGGGTTAGTGAGATGTTCACTGTCATCTCTTTCATTTTTAACTAATTGAGGCTTACTTTCAAATGCTTTGTTACTATCAAGCCCCTTGTTACTACCAAGCTCTTCATCACTATCAACACTTTCATCACTATCAACCTCTTCATCACTACCAAGCTCTTCATCGCCATCAAGATCTTCATCACTATCAAGTAACAGTGATATATTACTTCTTTTAGTCCGTCGCCAATCAAGTCGAGATTTTTGCTCAGGCACTTGAGTTTTAGAATTTTTTCTTGTTTCATATCTTCTTACATGTGTCATTTTCACCTAAGCTTCTACAAAATAAAGTTATTAGGAATACAATGATGATAACCAGGTTACAGCAATTAATGGTTCAAAATGTTTATTTTGCTTTATTAAATGATCCATAAAGGCAAAGTCACATGAAATATATGAGTATAGATGTTAGAACATTCAACATTTAACAACATTAAACATCTATGAAATAATTATATGAACATTTATTCTGATGCCATAAATTGTGTGGAAATGGATACAAAGAAAAATCACAGTCATGTACTTCCAAAGATTATCATATGTCTATACCTGAAATACATACATATATTAAGAAAAATTCAAGGTAGTATTCATTTAGTACCAAATGAATGATAAAAATAACTGGCAGAAGTGTAAAGATGGAGGAAGATCAGAAGGGCAAGTGCTACACTGAAATTATCTTAAGAGATGTGATATGATAAAATTCTGAAGAACTGGTTAAATCGGTACAGAAAGAATGAAGGAAAAGGGACTTGAAGCAAATAAACCTGGTAAGGACCAACTCTGGCACTGAGACAGCACACTTTTTTATGTGCGACTAAAAATGGTATAAAAAAGATTTATACTGGGGCCGGCGCTGTGGCGTAGCGGGTTAAGCCCCGGCCTGAAGCGCTGGCATCCCATGTGAGCGCGGGTTCTAGTCCCGGCTGCTCCTCTTCCCATCCAGCTCTCTGCTATGGCCTGGGAAAGCAGAAGAAGATGGCCCAAGTCCTTGGGCCCCTGCACCCACGTGGGAGACAAGGAAGAAGCTTCTGGCTTCTGGCTTCGGATCAGCACAGCTCCGGCCCTTGTGGCCATCTGGGGAGTGAACCATTGGATGGAAATCCTCTCTCTTATTTCTCTACCTCTCTCTGTAACTCCAACTTCCAAATAAACAAACGAAAAAAAAGATTTATACCTGGAAAAAAGGATCAAGGATGGAAAAGCAGGAGGGGATCACCAGATGAGGCAAAGAAGGATTCTGAACACAGAAATGACAGGACCAATCAAGAAAAATCTCAAAGTTGTAACTGATGTTAGAAACAGAGTAGTGCAATATTGAGAGATAACCTATCCACGAAAATTGTAGCCTCTACCTTCTTTAGTAAAACGGCAAAGCCTTAAACCACGGAACATTAAAGATATAGTATAATCCAACAGAAAACTTACTAACAACCCCATAATGTAGTAAGATGAAAAAATAAGTTTCTTGGCAAAGTAGAGCATGTTATTGGAAAGGAAAACAAAATCTATCAGTTTCTAATTTAGGAAAAGGGTGAATTTCATTAAAATTATCACAAACCTATGAAACAATTAGTGACAGGTAAGAAAACAGTAACATACATAATTACACACACACCCACATCTGTAGTTGCTAAGGAATAGAAGTAAAATCACAATATAACAACACTGACTTCACAATACATATGCAAAAGCTTATATATCCAACTAACTACTATTCCTTTCAAAGAAATAACCTCATAAGACTGATTATCCCAGTACTTCTACAATGGCACAGAATATTCCTGGAGTTTTTCTAAAAAGCATAGTATCAAGAACATGAAAATAAAAAAAAAATTTAAAATGAAAAGTTTCATGCTTTTATTCCAAAGAGCGGCTTCAACATCTACTTCATGTGTTTGTCTAAATTATAAATGACTCAGCAATTTCCATAATGAAATCTTCGTAAGATAAAAATTAACTATCATTAAAAATATTTCACATAAAAAGTACCGCAAACTCTGAAAGTAATTCCAAAAATGAGATGCCAAAAATTGTTGGAGCAATGGCAACTAGACTGTGGGGAGCAATCCGGACTGGACTGAGTTACTGGAATTAAGACTTATTCTATGCATCTGCTCTCCCACAATATGGTGCTGGGAGAGAAGTAAACAGCTTCCGCACAGCTGCCTCCAGTTCAACCAATAAACTGTAGGACTTGCTCCTGATTGGAGAGCGGCGTACTCGGCGTGTGGGCAGCCGAGTTGGGATTGGCGGAGGAGGACTATAAAGGAGGAGAGAGACGGAATGCACCAGGAACATCTATGGGGAACATCTAAGGGAACACCTGTGCAGCCCCCGAGAAGAGCCGGCCGGCGGTGTGCCGCTCCCCTGCGGAAGTGGGGAATGCGGCCAGGGGGAACTGCCCTTCCACGGAGGTGGAAGGGATAGTAGCCAACCCGGGAAGAACCAGCAGCAAACCCGGGGAGGGCCGAGCAGACGAAAGAACAGCGCAGGGTCCTGTGTTGCTCCTCCACGAAGAGGGGGAGCGACATAATGGTGCCGTGACTCGGATATGAAGCCTAGGCAGGGCTTAGTGTCGTTCCCCCACGAAGACGGGGAGCGACATAATGGTGCCGTGACTCGGATATGAAGCCTAGGCAGGGTTTAATGTCGTTCCCCCATGAAGACGGGGAGCGACATAATGGGGCCGTGACTCGGATATGAAACTTAGGAGGGAAGAAATGACTCGGATAGGAAACCCAGGACGGATAGGAAACTTAGGAGGGAAGAAACGGGAAGAAGCAGGAAAATACCGGAGAGAGAGACTAGCGAAGAGCCTAGGGGAAAGCCGGACGAGAAAGGTGCCGGAAGAAGCTATTGAAAGCCTAGGCATAGACTTGGATATGGACTGTGGGAAAGAAGTTAGGATTTGAAAGCGAAAGTGAAAGCTTTCATAGACTCGGATGCGGACTATGGCGGGGAAGCTAGGAGATTGAAAGCGAAAGTGAAACCTGGAGGAGGCTTGGACTCGGATACGGACTGTGGGAAAGAAGTTAGGATTTAAAGTGAAAGCAAGAAGAAACTTAGACTCAGATACGGACTGCAGGTTGAAAGTGAAAGTGAAACCTATAAGAAACTTAGACTTGGATACGGACTGTGGGGAGAGGCCAGGAGAAATGAAGGAGGAATATTGTTGGAAGAAAGCTTGGGGAAACATACCGGGTAGAGAAAAATGTTAGGGAAATTGAAGCCGCGGGGGGCAGGCCGAGGCGGATACGAAAGCCACTTTGGGATTCTCAAGTTAGCCCGGGAATAGGGGGCGAAAAGTTGAAACCAGAAGCTGAAACGTAAGCCAGATCGTGGGGCGGAGACGTATGCTGGGTTGAATTCGCCAGGCTAGCCCGGGGAACTTAGATTGAATGCTAGTGGCGGACACGTAAACTACGCTGTGTTACTCGCGGAAGCCGCCGCGCGCAGACAGAGCGTGCGGGGCTCAAGTACATAGGGAATGCGGGGCTAGCGCGGAGACCACGGAGTGTGCGCGCAAAGCCGAGCCGCACAGAGCCGCGAAGCCGCGCGGAGCCGTGAAGCTGCCGGCAGGGCGAGGCGCCGGAAAGCTGCCGAGAAGGAGCCTCGGGGCGGGCGCAGCCGGGAAGCCGTGGGGATAAGAGAAACAGAAGTTTAGAAATGGAATGAGAGCGGGAAGCTGCGGGGATAAGAGAAACAGAAGTTTAGAAGTAAAGTGAGAGAAATAGGAATGCTGGAAGATAGAAGTAAAATGGGAGAAATAGGAATGCCCGGAGATAGAGAAATAGAGAAATAGAAAGGCCTCCCTACAACACTGCAATGTGAGAGCTTGGATTCGGTCTGCCTGATTAAGTGAGGCGATGAGCACGATGAGCACCTGCGGCGGCTAGCAGCTTATGCGCCGCAGGTCACCGAAGACAGGCACGAATTAACATCAGTAAGGCCTCCCCACAAAAAGGCAATGAGAAGGCTTGGATTCGGTTTGCCTGATAGAGCTTGTAAGCCCCTGCAGGCAGAGCAAAGCATGCGCTGCAGGGCACCGAACACAGGCACGCATCAGCGCCTAAAAACCTCCTCACAACATGGCGAAGAGAGGACCCGGATTCGGTTTGCCTGATGGATAGGACTTGTAAGAGCCTGTGGCAACTCTAGCAAGCAGAGCAGAGTGTGTGCCGCGGGACACCGAAGACAGGCGCGTATCAACGCCAAAAATAAAAAGAAAGGGGGATCTGTGGGGAGCAAACCGGACTAGACTGTTACTGGAATTAAGACTTATTCTATGCATCTGCTCTCCCACAATATGGCGCTGGGAGAGAAGTAAACAGCTTCCGCACAGCTGCCTCCAGTTCAACCAATAAACTGTAGGACTTGCTCCTGATTGGAGAGCAGCGTACTCGGCGTGTGGGCAGCCGAGTTGGGATTGGCGGAGGAGGACTATAAAGGAGGAGAGAGACGGCATGCACCAGGAACATCTATGGGGAACATCTAAGGGGAACACCTGTGCAGCCCCCGAGAAGAGCCGGCCGGCGGTGTGCCGCTCCCCTGCGGAAGTGTGGGGAATGTGGCCAGGGGGAACTGCCCTTCCACGGAGGTGGAAGGGATAGTAGCCAACCCGGGAAGAACCAGCAGCAAACCCGGGGAAGGCCGAGCAGACGAAAGAACAGCGCAGGGTCCTGTGTCGTTCCTCCGCGAAGAGGGGGAGCGACACTAGACCAATTTTATAGCTTTCCAAGATGATCACTTTCTAAGGCAGAAAGCAGAGGATGTGGGGTGGAGGGGAGAGGATATCATTCATTGTACTGTACATTCATATATGATCATAAAGCAATATGACTGACTCTGTAAGAATAATACCTCATAAAATCAGAACAATATCCTTGATATGATTATACATCAGAAATTATTTTACAGTATAGGATGAAGCATAAACTTATGACAGTATCTACTATAAGACATAATCAGCATCATAATTATAATCTAACAAATCCTACTCAACAGACCACTTTGCTATTCGAAATTATTCTTGGGCTGTATCTCTCAGAAGGCTTCTATTAAGATCAGCAAAAAATGAAAACTGCATGTGATCACAATTAACATTTTAAAAAATCTCTGCATGCATATTACCCTTCAAAGTCTGATTTTGTATGTACCGTACTACTTGATAATACAACTAACCAGTTTTATCTCTAGTTTTAAAGAGATTTTTAAACTGTTTCTTAGATTAAGTACCAGGTAAACCAAATAGCTTATGTTCTGAAGCCACATAGTACAAAGAAGTATTTTAAGCACATATAGTTAAACCTGCATAAGCTAAGAGTGCTTGTTTAATTCACTGTACTAAGAATATAAGGTTTTTAAATGTAAACCTGTTTGACAGCACTCTGGTCTCAGAATCAGCCCTTAAGGCATTCAGACCCAGCTGAAAAGCCCATGAGAGTATTTCAGGCATGGAAAGCCAAGACACTCTGGGGGAAAAAAAAAAAAAAGGAAATGACCTAAATGAAAGATCTCCACAAGTGAGATCCCAGTGGAAAGAATGGGTCATCAAAGAAGGAGTTACCTTTCTCTGAAGGGAGGAGAGAACTTCCACTTTGACTATGACCTTTTCTAAATACGATCAGAGTTGGTGAACTCAAAAGGCCTCCATAGCCTTGGAAACTCAGGACAAGATCCTGTGGTGATTACTGACACCATAAACAAAAGTGTCAATTTGTTAAGTCAACAACAGGAGTCACTGTGCACTTACTCCTCATGTAGGATCTCTGTCCTTAATGTGCTGTACATTGTGATTTAATGCTATAATTAGTACTCAAACAGTATTTTTCACTTTGTGTTTCTGTGTGGGTGCAAACTGTTGAAAGCTTTACTTAATATATGCTAAACTGATCTTCTGTATATAAAGAGAATTGAAAATGAATCTTGATGTGAATGGAAGGGGAGAGGGAGTAGGAGAGGGGAGGGTTGCAGGTGGGAGGGAAGTTATGGGGGAAAAGCCATTGTAATCCATAAGCTGTACTTTGGAAATTTATATTCATTAAATAAAAGTTAAAAAATGTAAACCTGTTTGAATTGGGAGAAATAATGAAAAAACATTATGAAAACAAATGACAAAGATGGTTTCAATAGCTATACTAAAGCAAATATGTACAAGTGAGAGGTGATTTTATTAGTATCCAAAAGTAGATTCATGCACAGTAGATGACTGTCTTATGCTCAAGAGACAGTTAATTGTCATATAAATAGGTGACTATATGACAATGATAGAAAAGACTGTCACACTATTAAGAAGACTATAACTGAAAAGTTATGCTATAAAGTTATGCTATAAAAGAAATCCCCTTATATTTATAAGTCTTAGTACATTTTCATATTATTTTAAAATCCTAATAATGATCCTAGAAGGATGATATTCTCTTTCTTCATTTATAAATATCAAGGCCAAGGACACAGAGTTTAAATGACTTACCACACAGCTCGTTAGTGATAGAGTAGGGATTAGAAACCAAGTCTCCAGTTTCCTCTGCCAGTGCTACATACCAACCACTGCAAACATCATATCTGTACAATATAAAAACAATTAAGCTTTAAAAAACTTATTATTTATCTCTCAATCATGCTAAATTTTACTTTGGGAAAATAACCATTAATATGGTTTATAATCTGCTAGTCAAAGTGATCAGTTTAAGTTCATAATTAATCACAGAGACAGAATTAAGTGTCAAAGGGATCACATAAACAAGACTAGCGTCTGCTAATAATTCCTGATAGAATTAAAAAGGAGAGAACAATCCAACATGGGAAGCAGGATACACAGCAGACTTATAGAATGGCAGATGCCCTAAACAGCACATTGGCCTCAGAATCAGACCTTAAGGCATTCGGATCTGGCTACAAAGCCCATGAGAGTATTTCAGGCATGGAAAGCCAAGACATTGTGGCAAAAAAAAAAAAAAAAAAAAGAAAAAGAAACTAAATGAAAGATCTCTGTGAGCAAGATCCCAGCGGAAAGAACGGGCCATCAAAGAAGGAGGTACCTTTCTCTGAAGGGAGGAGAGAACCTCCACTTTTTTTTTTTTTTTTTTTGACAGGCAGTGTGGACAGTAAGAGAGAGAGACAGAGAGAGAAAGGTCTTCCTTTGCCGTTGGAGAACCTCCACTTTGACTATAGCCTTGTCTATATAAGATTGGAGTTTGTGAACTCACTCGGCTTCCATTGCCTTGGCAGCTCATGACAAGAGCCTTGGGTGATTACTGACGTCATAAATAAGAGTATCAATTGTTAAATCAACAACAGGAATCACTGTGCTCTTACTCCCCATGTAGGATCTCTGTCCTTACTGTGTTGTACAATGTGAATAAATGCTATAACTAGTACTCAAACAGTACTTTACACTTTGTGTTTCTGTGTGGGTGCAAACTGTTGAAAGCTTTACTTAATATATGCTAAACTGATCTTCTGTATATAAAGATAATTTAAAATGAATCTTGATGTGAATGGAATGGGAGAGGGAGATGGGATGGTTGCGGGTGGGAGGGAGGTAATGGGGGAAAAAGCTGCAACAATGCAAAAGTTGTACTTTGTAAATTTATATTTATTAAATAAAAAAAGCAAAAAAACATAATTGAAAATGAATCTTGATGAAGAATGGGATGGGAGAAGGAGTGGGAGATGGGATAGTTGTGAGTGGGAGGGAGGTTATGGGGGGGGAAAAGCCACTATAATCCAAAAGTTGTACTTTGGAAATTTATATTTATTAAATGAAAGTTTTTTTTTTAAAAAAAGAATCTGCAAACATGATTTTCTATTATGATGTAAATGATTTTAGGGCACATGAGTGAGGTCAGAAACTTCTTGGAATTACTCACCCACTAGAAAAGAATGTGCAAAAGAGATGAAAATTTGTAGATTTCCCTCTTGACAGGATCTCTCTCCTATCTCTAAACTGTCACATCAATAAGGTAAAACAATGTTATTGAAAAATAAAGATAGGCCAGCGCCGTGGCTCAATAGGCTAATCCTCCACCTGCGGCGCCAGCACCCCTGGTTCTAGTCCCAGTCGGGGCACCGGATTCTGTCCTGCTTGCTTCTCTTCCAGTCCAGCTCTCTGCTGTGGCCCGGGAAGGCAGTGGAGAATGGCCCAAGTCCTTGGGCCCTGCACCCACATGGGAAACCAGGGGAAGCACCTGGCTCCTGGCTTCGGATCAGCACAATGTGCGGGCCGCAGCAGTCATTCGGGGGGTGAACCAACGGAAAAGGAAGATCTTTCTCTCTGTCTCTCTTTCTCTCACTGTTCACTCTGCCTGTCAAAATAAACAAACAAATAAATAAATAAATAAAAATAAAGATAATTTGTATATGGTTGGCTCCTCTTTTCAAATTGTGGATAGCTTTACAATATTGGCTGGGGCGAGAAGAATGGCCACAAAGGGGAAATTGTTAAGTGAACCTGGGGAGAGAAATGAGAAAGTAAAGCTAGGTTAATGGGTAAGGCATCTTGGGTCTTTAGAATTCACTCAAATAAAGGCTCCATGCAAATGGATGCAATTTCTTCATATGCTGAATACACACTCAACTTCTTGAAATGAGAATCTTAACAAGCTTCTGTAATGATACTTGCCCTTTAGGCAAAGAGAAAAACAGAGACTCCAAACAGAAAGCATTAAATAAGTGGATGAAATCAATACTATCACATCTTTGTGCATCATGGTTAATATCACATAAAACACACATACACAGCTATGTTGTTTACAAACTAGGTGAAAAGTCAAAATCCATTTTCTTTGTGTTCTTTATGCAACTAAAAGGTAATTTGACAGTGGCACTCAATTTTTCATCAGGAATTCCCTTTTAGAGTTTGAGGCTAATTCATACTTATTGGCAAGACTGATGTCATCTTATCCTAGGTGCCTTCTTGCAAGACAAGTCTGGGTTTCTTGGAGATAGGTTTCTGTTTCCTGGAATTGGGCCTGGTTTACCAGAAGTCAGGTGATGTTTAGACGACCCATTCACGAGTATTAGTTCTACCCCCTACCCTAACATAATCTGTTGCTCCCACTTGCTTCTCTCTACAGGGCTACAGTATGTAACCATGGCCTGCTGCTCTCTAGCTCATGGAGAGAGAGCATGTCAGCTACCGACAACAAAGCTTTTCTTTTATTCCAGTGTTTTGGTGTATTCTCTGTTGGCCTTTCAACACTCATAAAATCCATTCTAGAAATATCCTACTTTGCCCAAGGTAAGTGGTAGTTTATAGTTCCAAGATTTGAATGGCAGAGGAACCCCAGACCATGTTTTTGAAATCCCACTAGAAGAGATGTCCTCTTATTTGTAAAACATCACCCCCCCTTGATGTTTTCTTCCACACAGCAGTTTGGAGAGGCATTAATAAACCAAAGAAATAATTCACTGAATGTCTACCACAAAGCCAGCACATGCTTGGAGCTATGGCGTTACTAGAAAAAATAAACATGGTCTCCGCTCCCAAGGAGCTTACATCTGATGAAATTTTACGAGGGACACCCAAAACAAGCCGGCATGGTTGACAATCAGAGGGCTCCTCTGTATGTGTATACTCAAATTCCTATTATACCGCTGTGAATAAATTGATTATAGTCCTTCCACTGGCTGGAAAAAAACGACAGCGCAACACGGAACAGAAACTAGGAAAATAAGAAACCTATAAAGAAAGGAAAGCCAACTGCCCCCACTGAAAATCCAGGTCCGCAGTTTCTGAGGGGAGATCCAGCCACGACATTCTTCACCGCAGGTAAAACCGACAACGGCTCATTCCCTCAATCCTGCAGGAAGGAGCGGCAGGCGGAGGAGAGTGCACGGGCGCCACTCGCACGTTTACAAACCTGGCTGTTAGGCGGGGAGCAGGCGCCCAGGGCATTCTGCCCGCCCACTCGCCAGTCACTGTGCCTACAGCAGGGCGAGGCGCCGTCGCCAGGAAACGCACCCGCGAATACAACCTCCCAAAGACGTGCACCGGAGCGCAGAGGCCCCCAGGCCCAGAAGCGGCTGTGTACCCGCAAAACAAACAAGTGTGTGCGAAGGCCAGACACCCACGAGGTCACCCCCTCCCTCGGCAGCTCCGCAGTTCTGCAGGAAGAGAAATGCTGTTGCAATGGGCTGAGGGTCCCTGTCCAGCCCACCACGACACCGCTCGCGGGTATCTTTCGCTGGACCTGCCTGGGGGCTCAGCTTCCCCGCCCCTTTTAATAAGCAATTAGCAGCAGGAGCCAGAGCGAGTCGCCACCTGTACCTGGCCTCGCCCCGCCCTCGCGTCCTCACCTTACAAAACTCCATCGCCTAGGTCCCCGCCTCCATCTCCGCTTCCGCGCACTGCATCCATTTATACCACACGACGCTCCTCCTCCTTCCGGGGACTAAGGGAAGTCCCGCCTCTGGGTGGGGAGAGGGGAGGAGCCGGGCGGCGGGAGGGGGCGTCTTCCGGGAGCGTGCGCTGGGGGAGGAGCTGCTGCCGCGCGGTAGTCAGGGAGCAGTTGCGGGGTCCTGGTTGCAACTGAGGTGGGAGCGGGGCCCGGCGGGCTGTGCGGGACCGGGAGGGCTGTGCTGGCTCAGCCGGACCCGGGAAAGCGGGCCTGCGCGGCGGGAGGGCCTGTCTGCAAGGGCAGGAATCAAACGTAATCGCTCCCCGGGGAAGGGGGCCCGTCCTCGACTCCGGCTCTTCCGCTCTTTGCTTAACTTTGGGGTGTGGCGAGGGTTACCGACGGGACTTTCCTCCGGGTCTGGATGTGAAGGAGATTCGTAGCCACGATGGGGTTCTTCTAGTCTTCCTCGTGGCTTTCGGGGTAACCCGACACATGTCTGTAATCCGGATTATCCGCGGTGACCCAGGGCCTCCTTTGCTGTCCGTCTAAGTTAAAGGCCTATCCAAACTTCCTCTTCCTTTGCTGCCCCCTGCCAGCCAGAAGAGACCCCCACGGGGGAGGGGGTCGGGGCCGTCACGTTGCCGGTGAGGTGTAAAAGACTGTGTAAGACTTGTTAAAGTGAGTCTGTCGAAGAAAAGGAAGGATTTTGTGGATTGTTACAGGGTGAGTGTGGGTGAATCAGCCTCAGAATGTCAGGGAAACGCAAGCGTGTGGTACTGACCATTAAGGATAAACTTGATATAATAAAGAAACTTGAAGACGGGGGTTCTTCCAAACAACTGGCAGTGATTTATGGCATTGGTGAAACAACAGTTCGAGATATAAGAAAAAATAAGGAAAAGATTATAACTTATGCAAGCAGTTCTGATTCCACGAGTCTTCTGGCCAAGAGGAAATCGATGAAGCCATCCATGTATGAGGAACTAGACAAAGCAATGCTGGAGTGGTTCAACCAGCAAAGAGCAAAAGGGAATCCCATATCTGGACCAATTTGTGCAAAAAGGGCAGAGTTTTTCTTTTATGCTTTGGGAATGGATGGTGATTTTAACCCCTCTGCTGGTTGGTTAACTCGTTTTAAGCAGCGGCACAGCATCAGAGAGATTAACATTAGAAATGAAAGATTAAATGGAGATGAGACTGCGGTGGAAGATTTTTGTAACAACTTTCGAGATTTTATTGAACGAGAGAATTTGCAGCCTGAACAAATCTACAATGCAGATGAAACTGGACTCTTTTGGAAGTGCCTACCTTCCAGGACTTCTGTAATCAAAGGTAAAGGTGCCATCTCAGGACAGAAATCAATTGAAGAAAGAGTCACCATCATGTGTTGTGCCAATGCGACGGGTTTACACAAACTTAAACTTTGTGTTGTGGGGAAAGCAAAGAAGCCTCGCTCCTTCAAGTCGACTGATACCTTAAATCTGCCAGTCTCTTACTTCAGCCAAAAAGGTGCATGGATGGATCTTTCCATTTTCCGACAGTGGTTTGACAAGATTTTTGTTCCACAAGTTCGAGAGTACTTAAGATCCAAAGGATTGCAGGAAAAGGCTGTGCTTTTGTTGGATAATTCACCAACACATCCAAATGAAAATGTTTTGAGATCAGACGATGGCCAAATATTTGCTAAATATTTACCACCTAATGTGGCGTCATTGATTCAGCCCTTAGATCAGGGGGTCATCTCAACAATGAAGAGAAACTACCGTGCAGGCCTTCTCCAGAACAACTTGGAAGAAGGCAACGACCTGAAGTCGTTCTGGAAGAAGCTAACTCTGCTGGATGCGCTTTATGAAATAGCAATGGCATGGAACTTAGTAAAACCAGTTAGCATCAGCAGAGCGTGGAAGCAGATTCTCCCTGTCATAGAGGAGAAGGAAGGCTTGGACTTTGATGAACAAGATATTTCTGTGGCTACTGTGGCCACCATTTTACAACACACCAAAGGCTTGGAAAATATGACAACTGAGAACCTTGAAAAATGGTTTGAAATAGACAGTACTGAACCAGGCTATGAAGTGTTAACTGACAGTGAAATCATCAGAAGAGCACAAGGCCAAACAGAAGAATCTAGTGAAAATGAGGAGGAGGAAATAGAACTGATCCCAGAGAAGCATGTTAATCATACAGCTGCCCTCCAATGGACTGAAAATTTGTTGGATTACCTAGAACAACAAGGTGATATGATTCTACCTGATAAACTGGTAATACGTAAACTTCGAGCCACCATCAGAAATAAACAGAAGATGACAAACTCAAGTCAGTAATGGCATTTCCAGGTTTAATCATTGTTTAGATAATTGTGTTTATGACTTTAAAATATGGCATAATTTTCTTTGTACTCTGAATTCTCACTGTCCTGTGAAATACAGATACAGAAATGTACCAAGTGGTTTAAGGATTATGTGTTTTCATCATCTGTGTCTCATCCCCTTGTGTAAATAGTCATAAAATGATTCTGTACAGATATAAGTTACATGCACATGTGTATTCACTTTTGTAAGTCACCAGTTACCCTTCTGTAATAATGGCATTCCCTAAATTTTCTAACAGAAGTTAGAGGTAAGAGTGAACAGATTGAGCACTTTCCCAAAATCTTTTGCTTGATTTGTGAAGGCTGCCACAGCTAATTTTGTGCTAACCATCTTAAATGGTTGTCTATTTTGTGTATATCGTATAAGCTGACAGAAAGAACTATGTTGTTAGATTTCAGGATGATATTTAATAATTTAAAAAATGAAGTCTAGTAATGATGGGGAAACTTACCTATGAATTATAAAAATTGTTTAGGTTTCATACATCTGTTCTTTACTCTTGTATGGGTAGCAAGAGGGGGACATTATTCTGGAAATTAAGTAAATGTAGGAAGTAATTACTAAATGAAAAATTCACATAACTCGTATATAAAAATACTCTGATCATTTGTAGGAAACAGGAATTTAGAATGTGGGGAAAATGGTTATTTATACAAAGGGAATAAATAGGCTTTAAACAATTTGGTCTTTGTTTATGAATTGGGTACCAATGTAGGCTTATTATTTATTCATTTAATTATAGTACATATTTTATAATGTTATGTATTATATGAGCTTCCACATTGCTTAGAGGAACAACATCACTGGAATATGAAAGTTAATAAGCCATTTTGTTTTTTGAACTGAGTGCTTGGAAATGTAATATGTAATTTGAAAACTTTTGTCAAACCTGGTTCATTAATAATGAAGAAAGGGGTAAAGTTTTTATTTTATATAAATCATATTTGTATCCTGTCTTCCAAAGAAAGCATAAATAACTGTGGAAAGTGTCAGACACTAAAGGGTGTTATTGTTTATTATTTTGATAATTGTGAAAAGGGATTATTCTAAAAGTCAAGTCACAATGTTAATTTTTTTTCAGTAACTCAAGAGGTTTATTTAAGACATTAAAAGACTGAATATATTAATATCAATTTGTAATTGAAAAGCAAAATGTTTTCATTTCATGTATTGACCCAAAGTTTCAAAAAAATTTGGAATTACTTTTAGTCATTTTCAAAAAGTTTATTTCATGGAGATACTTAACACTTTATAGTGCCTTTCTTAGGATTCTAAAACTTTAAAAAGGTTTTAGCATTCCATAATTTCTGTTACGTTCATGAAATATGTGTCTAGAATTTTCAAAAGACTTGTGATGAAAACATTTAACAGTTGTATTCATTGCATGAATTGTCTCAGTGCACAGTGAGAAAACACATCAGGAGTTAATCAGGTAGTTACACATTCTGCTATAAGTTGTATATAAAATAATTTTTCTGAAGTAAAAATATGTACTAAAGAAGCTTTTCGAAATTTGTGTCTGGATCTGCCCACTGTTTTCAAAATTCTTTTCAGTGAAATTCAACTGTATCATTGCCACCTAGTGGTTAAATTTACATTACTGTGTGATCTGAACTTTAGTAAAGGGTTCACTCTTTTGTGGTCTTGAGTGTGAATCTTGTGATGCTCTAGCCTCTGAGAAACTGCTCTTCTCTGAAGTCTACAGACTCTGGGAGACTAGTAGTCTTCTTGTGGACCCTGCTGTCCGTAATTATAAAAGCAGCCAATTTTTGAATGCCATTTTGTATTCTAAGCAGTGTATGTGTTTACATCATTTAAACCTCTGTGAGTTAGATAGAAGTACTGCTGCTCAGCTCATATTCTTAATTGCTGTAGGTAAGAATTTAAACCCAAGTGTTCGACTCCAAGCCTGTGCTTATATTATCTAAACTAGGCTAATCGCTAAATCTGTTTCAATCTTCAGCAATACATTTTTTGCCCTTCTCAGGGTCTGACTTGACTTCTCTGTTTCCAAATGTACTTTAGACAACCATTACTCTTTTCCTTTACCTTTTAATGAGATTGTTCTTTCTTTCTTCACTGTTCTGTAGTTACTCTGTTAATCAGCAACCTAATAGCATCTGAATCTTGTATCACTGCTTTCTGATTTCCAGTTAGCTGTACTCAGTGAGGATCCTTTCTTACTTCAGCAATCTTAAATCCAGCATTGGGAAAAATAAAGTTTGTGCAAATATTTCTCAAGTTCATGAGGCAATCTGGCTTTTGTTGGTAGAGTACCAACGTGGACTTCTTGTTTGGCTAATGATGATGGAAATTACTTTTACAAAAAGCACGTTGAGTGTGTATGTACTCCGTTTCATACAGAGACCAAATGGAAAAAGTAAGCTGCCCAAAATGAGACAGTATGGGGGAGAGTGGAGGTTATAGTCAAATAGTAGAGGCAGTGGTTAGCAGAGAAGAAAGCAAAAATAAAAGGAAATGTGGCTTGCAATAAGGTGTGCATTTCAGCATTTTAGTACCAGGTTTACTACTTTACGCTGCCTAATCTTAGATGGGATTTGCAATGTGTAGGCTCTCTCCATCTCTCTCTTCTCTAAGATTTCATTTATTTATTTGAAAGAGTTACAGGGAGAGTGTTAGAGGTTTTCCATCTGCTGGCTCAGTCCTCAAGTGGTCACAACCACTGGGGCTTGAGCCAGGCCAAAGGAAGCAGCCAGGAGCTTCATCCAGATCTCTCATGTGAGTGGCAGTGGCCTAAGCAGCTGAGCCATCTGCTGCTTTCCTCAGACCCGTAGCAGGGATCTGTATTGGAAGTGGAACAGTCAGGACACGGGCCTGTTCCCATATGGGATGCTGGCACGTTGCAGCTTTACCTGCTATTACAGGATGCCAGCTCCTAATTTACTTTTATCCTTTTCCCACCTATGGAATTAAGTCAGTGCCAGATTAAATACATTTGGTCGATTGTTGGAGCACCTGTCTGATGATGCCAAAAAATTGCTTAGGTTCTATATTTTCCCCTAAAGTCATAAACCCTTAGTTCCTTATTCATATTCCTTCAATATGTCACTAGAGACTATGTTTGCCATTCTATTTCTCCATTAAAAGATTAGCTATAGGCTTGTGTTCTGTCACCAGGTCTGTGATTTTTTTTTTTTCATTTATGTGACTTGACAGCACTTTCATAAAGCGAACTGTACAACATAATGTTTCTTAGAGTTGCCAAGATTTCTGGAGAGATTTACCTTTAATGTTTGATGTGGGAAACTGTAAAGTTGCTCTTTGGCAGGAAATATTAGGGCTTTCTGAGGAGGGGAAGTGGTGAGGGAAACATTCTTTGTTAATGCTTGAATCCAATGACTCAAAAACTTGTTTTAATGTATGCCAAAGACTGCTGGGTGTGGTGGGGTTTAGGCAAATATAAAAGAAGAGCAAGAGGTTTGTGTCCTTGAGCATCTTAAAATCAAGAGAGGAAAAACAACATTTTGAAGCAGTGGATGATGGCTCAAGTACTTGGGTTACTGCCGCCCATGTGGGAGATTTGGATGAAGTTTCTGGATCCTGGCTTCAGACTGGTCCAGCCCTGGTTTTTGCAAGCCATTTGAGGAAGGAACCAGCCACAGATCTCTCCTGTCTCTCTCCCTCTCCTTTGTCTCTTTTTCTATGCACCATTCTGCATTTCAAAATTAATAAAATCTGAAAAAAAATTGAAACAACACAAAACCATGTGATTCAATTGTAAGCTCATATAGAACAGCCAACATAATGTGATATAAATTCTATAAGGAAGCCATGAAGATCTATTTTGTTTATTCCCCCAGTGGCTCCTGTTCTGTATACTCTACATTTAAGTTTAACATTCTTAGTTATTCCTGCCTTTGAGTGATTGCATTCATTTTTTTACCTCCATATTGACCACATAGACCCTGTTTCCAGAAGTCCAGATTGTTACCTTCACTGGGTAAGTGAAATTTAAGTCTGGAAGAGAAAGCTGTTATTTGGCTTCCCACTTCATGAATTTTCCATTAGCATTCTAATGTCAGAGCCATCTAGGTAAGCTAACAAATTCAAATAATTATATAACTGCCAAAATAAAGGTGAACTTCCTTGATCTGAAATAGCAAAATAGATGATTGTTTTCTTCACATACATCCTTTCCTGGTGTACACAGTGCTCTTCCCTCTGACCATTCCCTCCCATGAGTAGTCATTTTATATATATATATATATATATATATATATATATATATATATATACATTCTTGTTGCTATTTAAGCAACAGGAATTTTTGTTAAGCAACAAACAAATTTTTGTTTGTTACATTTCAGCTCCTTGCCTTCTTAATTATTCAGACTCTTTAGGTCATCTATGTCCTTAGGAATGAATTCTTCACAATTTGCTATGTTTAAGGTAGTGACGTCTTTACACAGTAACTAGTCTCATGAAGTACCATGCAACTGGAAATTGGAGGTCGCAAATTTCCACAGGGTAACAACTGCTTTCCCAGTATTACCTAGTGTACATATTAGTGTCTTAAGGGCCTCAGGTTCTATCAGAATTGTCATCCTGTAAAGCGATGTTTGTGATTATACCTCAGAATACTGGTCTATGAACATTAGAGATCAGGGACTGTAGGATCAATTCAGAGTAGTAGTGGAGCCAAGCCCCTGTAACAGTACCTTTCAGGCAGACAATAGAAACTAACAGTACCAATTTCCCATGGACTTCCAGCCTCCTTCCCTTTCCTTAAAGGTTTTATGCCCTGACTTTATGATTGTAAATCAACATCTTGACTAAAATTGCCTATGTACGGCTGGCCTTACAGGATTTACTGATCACAACACTCAGGAGGATGTTAATCTCCTGAATAGACAACATTTTCATGTTTGGCCTTACAATGAATGCCAGGTCCTGAGAAATATCTACCGCCCGATTGAAATCCATTTTGCCATCATCAAAATTCCCAAAAGAGCATGATATTGCTGACCAATCAAAGGAGGACCAAAACCACTGTCAGCCAAACAGGGACCTGGACACAAACTAAACACACACCCTTCAACCCCAATTTCAATCTGTAAGCATCTACTCCAATTAATGCCACAAGGAGCCCAGGAAATAAGCAATAGCTACCCAGCCGTTGGTGCTAGACTTTGCAATAAACACTTTATTGATCACCCTAGTCAAAATTGGCTTGTTATATGTTGGACAAGCAGACTTAAATTTTGGGGGTTCTACAAAAGTATATATTTAATAAATATACACCTAAACACTAATTGTACACTGCATACGTGGCATGCTCTAGGCCATGTGCGGGATATGTGACCAACACAGTCTGCATAATAACTATACTATATTTGATTATATTACTTTTCTTATCTGAAAGTTTTCTTTTTAAATTCTGTATTATCCCTGTCCTTTCCCTATCTATTATTGAGTTTTGGTGTTTTATGGAATTGGTATGCCAACATTTTGTAATTTTAGACTGAATTTCTGACCGCTGTGGAGATTGTCTGAAAGACTGGTCTCTGCATATACAAAATATACTACATTAAGTGTAGAAACATGTCATGAGGTTTTCTTGGAGCCATTTGCAACGAGAATAAAAATGGATATTATCTCTTGCCAGATGGGATATTTGAGAATTTGTCATTTGAGTTTGAGTGCTCCTCATGCCTCTTAACTTTTTACTGCAAGTGGAATTCTCCTAACAAGTCCTCAAAGTTCTGCTTCTTTCTGAAGATAAATGTAATTTTTTTCTTTCACTTAACCTGGAAGGTGAAAATATGTGCTTGGAGCTCTCCACTAGGGCATTTGTTGATCCTTCTCCCCAATTTAACCTCTTTCACATAAGAAACACAATTTTTTTTAAACTTTAATAAATATAAATTTTGAAAGTATAACTTGTGGATTATAACGGTCCCCCCCCATAACCACCCTTCTACTCACAAAACATCCCATCTCCTACTCCTTTTCCCATTCCATTATTCATTAAGATTCATTTTTAATTAACTTTATATACAGATCAACTTAGTATATACTAAGTAAAGATTTCAACAGTTCGCACCCACACAGAAACACAAAGTGTAAAGTACTGTTTGATTACTAGTTTTACCGTTAATTCATATAGTACAACACAGTAAGGACAGAGATCCTACATGGGGAGTAAGTGTACAGTGGTTCCCATTGTTGATTTAACAATTGACACTCATTTATGATGTCAGTAATCACCCGAGGCTCTTGTCGTGAGCTGCCAAGACTATGGAAGCCAACTGAGTTCACAAACTCCAACCTTGTTTAGACACGGCCATAATCAAAGTGGAAGTTTTCTCCTCCCTTCAGAGAAAGGTACCTCCTTCTCTGATGGCCCATTCTTTCCACTGGGATCTCGCAGAGATCTTTCATTTAGGTCATTTTTTTTTAACAGGCGGAGTTAGACAGTGAGAGAAAGAGACAGAGAGAAAGGTCTTCCTTCCATTGATTCACCCCCCAAATGGCTGCTATGGCTGGCGCATTGCACCAATCCAAAGCCAGGAGCAAGGTGCTTCCTCTTGGTCTCCCATGCGGGTGCAGGGGTCCAAGCACTTGGGCCATCCTCCACTGTCTTCCTGGGCCACAGCAGAGAGCTGGACTGGAAGAG